ATCCCTAAATTGGTGGCGTGTATCCCTTGGGCTTGCTGGGTGGGTAACCTGTGGGGAGCAGGCTAGGATAACTAAAGGATAGATCTTTAATACCCACAGAGGTTTTCTTACAGTATTACCTTTGGTAGCTGAAACTGTTTTTTTGCAGTGTTTACATTTGACCTTTTTTCTTTCGGTGTAGTCGTCACTAAAACCGCAATGCGTCTAAACGACGGACACTGCATTTTTCTTTGGTACAAGCTGCTCGAGTTGCTCAGTTGGCTCAGTGTTGCCTATATCTTGCTTCCATGTCACAGACTGGATTGGGTATAGTCACTTGACAACACATGTTACTACAAATAGTAGTATGTTTTTAAGGGGAGAGTACATGAACGCACACTGGAGAAAGTAGTAACAATTGTAAGTATTAACAGAATTAACATAAAAACCCAAAGTAACTAACATGGGCAAGATTACGTCGATTGAATGACGGTTGTGATTCATTTTCGAATAACTGCCCAGGCTTACTTCGCAAGTTAAGTTAAATCATTAAACATATTAAAATATGGGTCATTCTCACAACCTTGAGAATTTTCCAAAGAAGTTACAAGGAAATAATTATCGTATTTTTTTTCTGCAGATCAATCGATGCTTACTTACACTTTTTAGGTATATTAAAATTACGTAATTTGTTTCTCTAATTTTAATGATTTTCTAACCATTTTCCCCAAATAGGTAGGCAAAAATCAAAGAACACAAAAGTAGTTAAAACCCACAATAAACAACCAATATGTAATCGCAGAAAACTGTGTGATTTTACTTACTTATTTTTTTTAAATCAATGCTTGCAACTTTTTCTGGTGATGTTGTTGATGAAATTTTCCAGTATATGACAAAGAGGCTGAAACTTGGACAGCACTGTGAGTGGGGCAGAGTCACCGGAACCGTGGGCGAATCACCTTTCGGCATTCCGGTAAACCTCCAGATTAACGGTAAGCGAGCGCTGTCTTTGGCAGTGTGGGCAAGACACCATATCTCACGGGGTCGGGGGCTTGAACGGACCCCTCTGCTGCCCCTCAGAGCACCCTCCGGTATTGTTCGAACTGGCTTGCTTGGACAACAACATACAGATCGGCGGTCATCCGTGGCATGTCATCTACACCCCAAAGCTCAGGAAGCACCAAGGAACCTACCACATATGCTCCCTGGAGGACGGCTCCCTGGTAACTTGTACTTGAAGTGCTTCACGCTGTTTGACACGGTTGACCAACTACCTCAGGTTTATTCTCCCTCCTGGCCTTTTTGTATGTGTCGCTTATAGCACATAGAATGTGTTTTTGGCAGACACTGAACTCACCTTTTAGGAAGAATGAGCAACTGTGAAACTAAGACTTGGTGGTGTAAATATTCTCCAACACAAGAATTGATCACTAATGGTCACAGTGGTCAAATGAAAATCATGTAAATCTGATGATCATTTTTAATGTTACTGTAAATTAAATTAATATTGGTGTATGACATGAAAATAACATTATTGTAAGTTTTCTGTTTGTCACTTAAAAGGCACATAATGGGATACAGGACATGCAGTGTTGTTCCCTGGAATCTGACTGGATCTACTTCCATCCAGATGATTCTGGTAGAATCATTCATGTGGGTCCCAGCAGAATAAAGTGAGTATAAGTTAAGGATAAGTTAAGGATAAGTTAAGGATAAGTTAAGGCCAGTTTAAACCGGAAACCTTTGATTTAAGGCCATTTCACACCAAACATAAGCACAGAAAAAGGCACGAATTTGAGAAATATTTAGATACGAGTTTGTGAAACGTTCACACCAAACATGATGCAGAACATTCGCATCTAGTTTACATACTGAAAGAAATGTCAAACTGGTGACAAACACTAGCAGCAGTCAGAGTGAGTTTTTATTGTTTCTTTTGAGAAAGCAAGCAAAAAAAAAGGTGAAGATTCTGTATACCTCCAATACTGAAACAGCATCTAGAACTTAAAATTTATCACAACCCTTTCAGACGATATTTCAGGATAGCTAAAATGAATATTTAAAACATGGCAGCAACATCTATCATCAATTAGCTAACTGCAGGAATAGGGAATACAAAGTGTATTATTTTAACTGGGTTTTTATTGGATATGGATTGTATATAAATAGATCTAATAAAATATTAATGAATAGCCACAGTCTAAAATAACACCTTAAAAATTAAGGAAAAATAAACATAAACACAAGCAACCAGAACAGCTGCAAGCAGCTTAAAATGCCCCTTTTCATAAAACAAGAAGGCTATTGTTGTAAACCAAATGAAAGGTGGTCTTTCTATTCAAAAAACTGATCACATGTAAGAACTGACATCCTATTGGTTGTTTGTGTTTTTGACATCAGAAAACTGCAAAAATTAACTCGTCTTGGAATAAAAAAATATGGTGCACAATGACTATACAAATTTGTCAGACTTGGTAAGAAAGCCTTCATAGAAATACGTTTTCGTTTTAGAATGATGTTTCGTGCAAAAAATTCTGACAGTAAGAAATGGCCTTTGGTCTGGAATATTAATTTGTAGTATTTTTCAGATTTGTCTTTGGTGTCCTTCTCTCATGCATTAATATCTTTAGACTTTGCAGCTACATACTTGCTTATCACATGCAGTGGTGTTAAAAGCAGATATGTAATCATAAATGTACATTTACTTGCATCTTCTAACTGCTTATCCAGCGTGTTGAAGATCCTAAAAGCTCATGGATCCTCCTCACAATTTGAGGTTGTTGAAGAATTTTCCATCACAGCCCATCGGAACAATAGCGTAAGCATTCCCTGTATGGTCCTGTATTCAGTGTTTTTCCGGAATGATTCTGCTCTGCTGCTGGTATACATCCACTTCATAACTGTGGGAAACTCGTGACACGATAAATTTGCTTAAATGATTGAAGAATATTTTTATTAATGCAATGAGAATCTTTTAGGGATCCACCCTCCTGTTTGGGATTGCAATTTGGAGACTCTTGTCCTTTGATTAAAAATACACTGTTTCACCTATGCAGATTTGCCCGTAGAAATTTGCATGGAAATAATGGAGTTGCTCATTTGCTGGTAACACAGGCTGTCGCCCAACCCAGTGTGACCTTTTCAGGTCGAACGGTGAAGAGAAGGTATCAAGAACTGGATGATGATCCTGAGAAAGAGGTACCTGAATGTTACCACCTAAGAGGGGAGATGCCCCCTCATAGTATTCAAATTAAATAATGTGGCAATAATTTACAGTGCTTGCATAACAAAAACAGAAAGCTAAGCTACCCTAAAGGAGAACGTATCTGGAAATAATCATGAAATAATGGAATTCGAACTTGAAAGGTACTGTCTGGCTGTGATTTGAATAATTCTTGACAAATGCCAAAACAATATATTCCATCAGAAGAATGGTCATATGACCTCATCTTTTTTTTTTTTTTTTTTTTTAAATATTTCCAATATTTCTTTGAAAAACTGTGTATATTGTGATGGGTAATTCATTCATCCATCTTCCATACCTATTTTGGTAGGACAGGGTTATGGAATTTTCAAGGGTAATGACTGACCGAATACCAGGTACAATATTAGGTAGTGTATTATTTTTGGTGGTTGGTTGGAAGTGTGTGAAATGTGTATGTGTTTTGTTAAGGTTAGTTTTTTTTTTGTTTTTGATTAGACCTTCAAGGTGGTGGAGTATGAGGATGAGCTGGACCTGTTGGCAGCCGTGGAGGTGACCGTGACGGACGAGGTCGGAAGGGCTTATGTTGGTTTATATGACAACCAGAACGGAACATTACGGAAGAAGAGTCAGTTGCTTGAAGCTTGGGATGTGGTTAGTTCTAAAACATTCAAATATGTGCATGACAATAAATCTCTTGTCTCGCTCAATACTTTGTTTTTGCTATTTAATTATATATAATTTTATATATGGTTGGTAATAAAATTCTATTTTGCTCATATCTGTTATTTTTAATTAAGCAAATAGCTTGAATGTTCAGCAGAGTAAAATGTTTTAAAATCTTATTCTAGAGGTGTCATAAGATTTAATGTGATCTGAAATTGGATTTGTGATGGGAGTGTTATGAGATGGTGCTGTGAATCTTAGTTCGTTCTAGACAGTGGCTCATAACTGAATTCTGTGAAATGACAAGGTTTTGTGTCCCTTTTTACAGACTTACAGTCACGAGTTTTTCTTTGACCGAGACACAATGATTCACATTGCACAGGAGAAGAGTAATTTCTGCTGTCATGTCTACAAAATTACCCACAGACAAGAAGATATTGAAGAGCAGTTAGAGGAATCATCAATGAAATGACGCACGTGTCCAAGCTGTGTCATTACTCACACAAAACACTGAAATGCTATTTTATACGTTCAAACTGAAGTGACATGGTTATACTTTAAATATGAATTATAATAAAAATACTTGCTTGTATCTAGAAAATATGCCACTATAAAGATGTTTTTCAATTTTTGCTGATTTTGTGTGGATTTTTACTGCTATGGCAGTAAACCAAGCTAGATCAGTATAGTTTTTAAAACCACTAAATAAATGCAAAAGTCATCCCTGCAGAGAGTGGGGTGTGAGTGTTTTCTGTCATTCATGTTCATGTACACTTAATTGTTTAAGGTAAGGCAACTTGTAGCTTACATGTACTTAGTGCCCACAGCAACACATTATGTAGATTTATGTTTCACTTTATATGTAGACTACTTATAACTATAAACAATTCACTATTCATTTTCTGTTTAGTTCTAAGTTGAAGCGCTGCGTAAACATCGTTAAAAACCGTAAATGACATTCCCGTATTGTAAACCATTTTATGGCGAAAACACGAAGCTTTACCTTGACTTTTCCGCTACGTAAACAACTGCTTGCACGGTTTCTATTCGTTAATTTAAATGAGAGTCGTTTTTAAATAATTTTTAACCGGATCGTAATGTGTCAAACTATTACAAGTGTTTTATTTATCTATTCCTTCACATTTTCAAGCACAAATTTGGTTTATCGCAAGGGACTTATAAGTGACCCATCCCCCAGTGCAGCCCTCTTGAAATCCTCCAGTTTCCCCTCTTTTCACCCGTAAGGAAGTGCCTTCACTTCTGCTGAGTCCTGCCTGGGAGTCATCGCATGATGACAACCAATGCGTATTTCAGCTATGTTCCCAGCTGGGTTTGAAGGTGAAAATCTCTTTAGTTCCTGTTTGAAATTTGTCAAAAAATGTCACCAAATGTAAACCTGAGTAATGACACAAAGGTGAAAACAACTTTGGACCAGTCTGTTCACAAGGAAAATTACTTTCAAACATCATACTGAAGTGAATTTTTAGTGGCCCAGACCCTTTAAATTCCTTGGCTTCTACTTGGAAATCATCAGATAATGTTAACCTTAAAATAAGTGATATTTTTGTTTAGATGTAATGTTCTGTCATGAAAATGGTTAGGCCCTTGGATTTTTGCTTGGATATGCATGGCCAAGTAATGAAAACCAATACAGACATAAATACCTTTTAATGGTTAAAATAAATAGACTTAAGTCAATATTATTTTCGGATGTCATTTTCCATCCTGCGTAAGTGAATTTCCATTTGATTACAGTATTTTGTTCATGCTGGCTTATACCTGGAAGAGTTTACGTTTGAGCATTTAAGTCCTTTGTTCCATGGATTTTGGGCCATACATCAAAAGAAATGACATCCGTTTTACATGTAATATCGAAATGAACATAATAAAGTGTATATAATAAAATATTTCTGTATATTGGTCTATGGTGTCTAAGGTTAAAAAATATTTTGTTAATCTGCAGATTTAATAAGCTATAAAGACGAACAGAGATGATTCAGAATTGGGAGTGGGAAAAGGTTTGCGTTTGTTTCTTTTTCTAATAAAGTATACACATCGTGTTACTGAAGCCGCCCAGATATGTACTTCCCTCAAAGTGATGACAAGTCAGCAGAACCACGTTCAGCAACAATAATACCAAACGAAAGCCAAATGAAGTTCTGAAGGCAAGTCCCCCTACAGACGCAATGGCGTCATTGCATTCGGCTGCGCAGCATTTAAGGTGGACCGGAAAATCCGAACAAGGAGTTGCGAATAAGGAGTAACTTCAGCCTCGTTGTTTTAAGGCGGATAGCGTAATGGAGAATTACCGATTATTCTTGCTTTTCCTGATAGCAGCCCTGGCCGTGGGCTTCACCTCCGTGGTTTTTGTCCTCAGATGGGTCTTTTACTTCAAAGAGGGGCTGGCGTGGGATGGAGGACTGGCTGAGTTTAACTGGCATCCCGTGTTGATTTTAACGGGGTTTATTTATATTCAGGGAATCGGTAAGCGTTTTGGCTTGCGTGTTGTTGTTTCTGTTGCACTGCACATGGGATAATTATAGATAGGATACGGATAGATTCTTTATTTAACCCTTAAATGAATGAAAAGTTAACTGAATGACGTTATTCTGGGGTTTCTAGATAATCCACGGTGCTCCGTAGTATCACATTCCTCGATGAAGATGAACCCCCTGTTGCGTACTTTATGGGCATGATTCGCTACTTTTGTTTGAAAACAAAGTTTATTTTGCTTTGTTTTCTCCTGCATTCGATTTAAAGTCGCTTGTTTGGAAAGTTTTAAGAGTTTGAAAAAACTGCAAGTTTGAATTGTTTGCATGTTCAGGGAAAATAATTTGCACCCTTGCTTGAATTAGCTAGGGAGTAAAAACTGGTCAGATTAACTTGTAAATTGAACTTTTTTACGCTCCAGTTTGTTACTATCAGTACAAACAGGACAGCCTACATTGATGTCAGTGTAAGTAAGCAAAGTCCGAGCAAAACTGCAAAAAATAAATATATGGAGCTCTCATACACACGTCAATCCAAGTTAAACGTTTCAAACCAGTCACGAGTGCAGGAGAAGCAAGAACCCCAAGGCCTACGCTTAAATGTGCAAGTGCTGGTTATAAAAATTATGCACGATCAGTGTCTAATGCCTTGAGGAAGGATCGTCCTGACTAACAGTAAATGCCTGAGTTTACACGTAACCTGAAAATGCAACCTACCTTTTATGTAACTTCCAACCATCTTTTAGTAATGTAATCCTGTATGACTCGTGAATTATTTCTTAATGCATTCTTTAAATTCTTTTATTATTAATTTTTAATTACATATTTTCAGGTGTATTTCAGTTTTAAAAAATGAAAACATAAAATATTTTTATATAAATATATATACATATTATTATTATTATTATTATTATTATTATTAACATATGTATTATATAATATATAATATTATGTAAGAATACTCATATGTCTGCTGCCTGGAAAGAATTAGGGGAAAAAACAGCGATTTTGACAGTAACCTCAGACACACTGTTTCAGCTATAGTGGTGTACAGATTGCCCTGGACATGGAGGTGCAGCAAGCTGATGATGAAGTTCATCCATGCTGGCCTGCACAGCCTAGCCTTCATCCTTGTGGTCATCGCGCTGGTGGCCGTGTTTGACTTCCACAATGAGAAGCGCATCCCCAACATGTACAGCCTGCACAGCTGGGTGGGACTGGCTGCCGTCGTTCTGTACGCCCTGCAGGTGAGTGATCCGGGTCTTTCCATTTAAATCAACAAATGGCCTTTGTTCAACATGACCAGTGGTACACCTGGACTTTATCTCGCAGGATAAAGGAGAAATTCTCTGAAAAGTTCCCCGAAACACATTTCACATTTTAATCTACAGTTTAGGCACACTGCAGGTTCACTTTAGGGTTTTAATTAATGAAGCATATGTTGTTTCAGTAAGTTTTTTTGTGTGAATTTAGTGCCTTATAACTCCTACACCCCTTTGAATAACACATTTTTTTTGTTTAAAAAAGGGCAAATAATATTTTCCTCCAAATTAAGTAAAAAATACCCCTCCCCCCCCATTCCATTTTGAGGCTCATAAAAAGCTTTGTATACCTGTACATTTTTGGGGTGCACATCTCATCCAGGGGACCAAGTAACAGGTCAGTGTTTTGTATATAATTAGTACTCATACATATGTATTTCTTTACAAAAAATATATATTACTTTAAGCCCTCCTTTACTTTTTTTAACCAAAAGTAGTAAAAAATTCAGTCCACAAGATGAATTTTGACCTTGAAACTTGATGTAGAAAAGGCACTGTATGTCAAGGGGAAAATGAAAGAAAAATGTTACATGTTACTTGTAATATACACGCCACATTTAATCAGAATCAAAAGAGATGATATAAAAACTTTTTTGGAAATTTGTTGATTTAAAATGGAATGAACCTTCCTATTCTATTATGGTGTCACATAATAGAAAAAAGATGAATGGTCAATATCTAAGTACACGATGGAGCAGATTCTCACCTGTGACCCTGGGGATACTTTTTCCACCACTTCATTTTAAGCACTGTATTGCAGAAAACATATTTTTGTTTTATTATTAACACAATGCACCTTCAGAAATACTGGGAGCTATGTGGTGAGAAGCGATCGCCAGCTTAATTAAGCCCTGAAGGGCTAACAGGCCCTCCCTCTGGGGGTCCGCTGGGTTGACATCGCTCCGTAACAAACCAGTATGCTTCCATTCCATGTTCGGGTGAGCAGCTGGTCCTGGGACTGTGCGTGTACCTCATCCCCGTCACTCCGCTGTACCTGAGAGCTGCCTTCATGCCGCTGCACATCTACAGTGGCCTGTTCATCTTCAGCAGTGCCATTGCCACCTCCCTCATGGGAATCACAGAAAAGCTCATTTTTGGACTGTGAGTATTTCATGCCAGTGATGCATTCTTTTCCAAATTATAGAAAGTGTCTGTGAGATTAATTGCTTTCTTTGAACTCATAAATGGCAGTGTCAGATTTTACGTTGTTTTTGTTGTTTATTGATGAATCTGTATTATATATTTACCGTCCATATTTATTTATCTTATGTTCTGATCACATTCAGTAGTAGAGCTGGGAAATATAAGCAATATATCAACTTACGATATAAAATTTAATTAGAAAATGATACATTTGCATAAACTGTCGATAATGAGCATCGCTTGATAACACGCATCACATTACAGAAAGGAACGCAATTCCAACTAAGCATATGATAGACTTTTAAGAAGATAACCTGTAAAGGCACTGCAAGGTTGGCTGAGTTGGCAGAGCAATAATACATCTTAGTCACAGGAGAGAAGCCAGGAAACTTGGTGTCAGTGAGGAAAGTGACAGCGCAGCAGTGACATCTTTTAAAAATGAGATATTGTGGATAAACAAGGTAAAAAGACATCGGTGGTATTGTTGTACTTTGGCGGTGTGAAACCCGCTGCTGTTTACTGTAAACCCTGCCAAATGTATGCAGCAGGTAAAATTGAAAATACAGTGGAAACTGCATATAGTGATCACGTCTGTCTGGGTGAAATTGATCACTATAAACGGATGATCGTTATAACCGATTTTTTTATTCTTCTTCATGTCTCAAGCAGATTACCATCTAATTGACATTTATATATTTATTACGTGAATATAAGGTAATAAAACTGACGTCGCTATTAATTTTATTGATGATGTCAAAATAGATTGCAGCTGTTTAAAACGCTTTTCAAATTACAGTTCTGTACAAATTAAATTACTGAACTGCGTATAATTCAAATACGCTATAATACAGTATTGTATATAAACAGGCCTGCTCAGTTCAATTCAATTTTATTTATACAGCGCATTTTCACAGCATTACGTTGTCTTGAAGCACTTATTGTAGTTTCACTGCTGAATCTCAGTGGCTTGTTTTTGATAGTTTATGATAAGCTTTGATTAAACTGTATTTGTCATTGAGAGAAAAATTACTTTTTTTTTTCCCCGTCATGTTTTCTGTGCATGCCGCATTAACCTCAGGTAGTTAGCCAGAAGCAGACGGGTTACAGCAATGAATAATAGGGTGATCAAAGTAAAGTGGAAAAAAAACACAGTTTTTTTCCCATAGGTTATTATGTTTAAAAAGATGAACTGCTTGATTACTATAGGCAAATTATTTAAACAGTATTTCTGCAGGATTGATTCTGTTCCAAGCTTTTTGATTCATATAAACGGTTGATCACTATAACTGTGATCACTATATGCAGATTCCACTGTACTGTGAACTTATTTCACCACCTGAAGCATTGCTATCTAGTAGAACATACAGAATGCAAGCACTTGCAGTGACAAACACCAGAATTTAGGATTTCTACTTTCAATCAAAAAAATACAGGACAAATCACATCTCATATTCACTAAAAACGGGATACAGCATTTTATTCTTTGGTACAGGACAGTTGGGAACCCTATTAGCAATGTCAAATCTGGGGCAGCAAGGCAGTCCGAGAACAAAAACGAACAAAAACTGTACTATCTTCATTTTCTAGTTTTTTCGCCCAATCTTTTTCAAACTTTGCCGAGGTATTGCATGGGTGAAGAAGTGGAACTGATTATATTTTGAGACCTATCACCCGAAAAGTGGAGCGACCCTGCTTAGTGGCAGGAAAGGGAAGAGTGAAAACAAATGACATTTGTCTTTGTGAATGTGATAAGTCAAAAAGTACTTGATGGGTCATATTACTGCTTCAAAAAAAAAACCATACAAATAAGTACAGGTAAGCACCTAATTAGTGAGGAAAGATTTTACAGATTGGCATTTTAATGGAATGTGCAATAAATTAATAGTTGTACTTTAAGTGTTGTCACAGCTAGGACTCACAGCATTTAAGTAAAAACACACTTACTGACTTTCACATTTACAGTCGATCCATCCAGTAATTCTAAAAAGATGTATACGTTGGGGAATGTGTGAGGAGTGGGGATTAGATGGGTGGAGCAGGTGACCAGGCTGTCCAGAGAATACAATGCTGTCATTGCAGCAGCCCCCATTCTCAAGTTCTGTATGATTTATTTATTAAAATTAGATTTCAGTTTGTATGAATGAATTAAATTTTATTGTCATTATACATACAGTTCAATGAAACACTGTAGCAGCTAGTCCTACTTAGCTCATCGGCATGATGGTTCTAGCCAAATGCTGTCGACGGAGCCACTGCTGTCCATTCAGTCTATCATCATTTTCATGTTATAAATCTGTTTAAAGGGAATCCTAATAGAATTTAAGCAAAAATTGAGCCTTTAATTAAAGAAATGATTACCTGACTCATATTGTGATAATTATTGATATTGACTGATATGAAAATGTTTTTATCATGTTAAAATATTTCAGCATATTTCCCAGCCCTACTCTGTAGTATAATCAGGTTATACAACCTCATATGTATACTGTACAGTGGTACCTCGGTTCTCGAACTTAATCCGTTCCGGACTCCGGATCGAATCATAAAAAGTTTGAGTTCTGATCGAATTTTTCCCATAAGAAATAATGGAAAACAAATTAATTGGTTCCTGGCCCCCCAAAATTACACTTTTTTTTTTTTTTTTTTTAGCATTTAAACACAAAATGAACAGGATTAAACAAGAAGAGCATTGTTTTCTTAATGGCTTCCAAAACGATAAAGATCTTATCCCAACATTACCCCTGTCCTGCCCCGATCGTCCGCTCCTTTCGTGTGCCACGCCCCCTCGTTAACCTCATGTGGGATCCCCATGTGATCAGCTGTTTCTGGTTGTTGTCATTAGTCCTCTGTATTAAGTCTGCGTTTCAGTTTGTTTCCCTAGTCCGGTCATTGGGTGCGTTCGACTTGCTTACAGCGCTGGCTTAAAGCAACGCATTCTGATCCTGACGCAATGCATTATGGTTAGATGCATTGCGACCTCTCACCCAGCTGCACAAACCAGAACCGCCTCCGACAACACACTTTTGCCCTTATTGGCTGAAGAGTTTAGTTACACGCATGACATTTGTATCCCAGGCAGTTCCGATGCATAATCTGCTATTTCTCCCGAATATCACGTAAATCAGTGAGAACTGGTTTTCAGTTAATTTACCTGGTAAAATAAAGTTTAAATAAATTACATAAATGCTCTAATAGTACACGTAAGTTAGTGGTTTATTTATTGTTAGTTACTGTAATGTTGCGCTGCTTTATTTGGTTAATCGTCCAGTCTGTGAAGAAGGCATTCAAGTAAGAATTGCATTGTAGTATGACCCATTTCCTGGCGCATACAATTTATATTAGGTCAGCGTTCAAGGTTCGACTTCTGATATTCAGATCGAGTTCTAGGTCAAACTGGTTTGTTCGACTTTCAAGAAATTCGAGTTCTAGTGAGTTCGAGAACCGAGGTACCACTGTATTTACCTTTTTCACTTCTGAGCCTGTGCTACTTGTATTTTGTTCCATAGTTCCACTATTTCTCTCTTGATTTTGTTACTGTTTCTATCTATCTACTAGCAGTCATTGTGTGCAGAGCCACAGTGTTTCGTATGCTGCTGCGTCTGACTATCTCTGTCTCGCTCTCTCTTTCTCAGGAAAGACCCTAAATACTCCGATTCTCCAGCGGAGGCCACGTTCGTGAATGTGCTGGGAGTGCTGCTTACGCTGTTTGGGGCGCTCATCCTCTGGCTCACCACGCACCCGTCCTGGAAGCGCCCCGGCGAGCATCAGCAGCAGTCCCGCCTTAGCGAACAAGAGGCATCCGCCGATCTCCCAGTAGGCTCCACCCTGTCTACCCTTGGCAGCACTGACAAAGAAGCGTGCTGTGATACCCAGAAAAGGCACTGTGAACCGGATGGGCCTGGGCAGTGATCAGCCATGTAATGCGACAAACCTGAAGGAAGGAAAAGACCCATCTGCAGCCAGTTCTCTTTAGCTGAATGATGTGATAGTTCAAGCCAAATGCTGTCAATGGAGCCACCACTGTCCTCTCTAACAGTATTTTGTACTGCTTTTCTGTATTCTTTCCCTAGCCTCAGACTGGACTGTTGACAAAATATTATTATTTTTTTTTACATATACCCTTTTCCATGTGGCACGATGGTGCTGTGGTTAGCATGGTTGCTTCACACCCCACCCCGGCTTTTTGGTGGGTGGAGCTTGCATGCTCTCCCCATCTTATCGTGGGGTTTCTTCCAGGCTCTTCCCATGCAGTCCAAAACCATGCTGTGGTGAATTGGAGTTGCCATGTGTGTGACTGGTGTGTTGCCGCCCCATCCTGGGTTATTACCTCCCCTTCGTCCATTGCCTTTGGGTGAGGCTCTGGACCCCCACGACCCTGATTTGCACTCATGGCTATGGCAAATGGATGGATAGATACCATTTCCATTTTGTTTACTGTCTGCTTAATACATTGCAAGACAATTTTGCTACTTTTTTTCTCTCCATTATTGAGTAGTAATCAACTTGTATTGGTCTGTGATGTGACTTTCCATATTAATTCTTAAATATTACTTATTTCCATACCAGTACCTACACACAGATTGGTTTGAAAAATATGCTGATTACTGAAAAGGGAAATTGATATATTCTCACCATTGTTGCTCTTTAATGAAATGTTTGCTGCTTTTTTATGGTTTTTTGTAACAATTGCTTCTGCTTCAAACTCTTTTGAAACATTTCATCTATTAATCTCTACAAGTCAACTTGTACTTCATTGGCTACCTTCATCATAACTGAACATGCTGACAGTTAAAAGGATATAATCAAGTGTTCTTTTTTTGGTTTTAACAAATCATAACATTATATGTAGCACATGATCATGGTAATAACAAGTGTCATTAAGTTTTTTTTTTTACTTTTCAAAACATATTTCATTTTTTTCCCAAAAATCAGAATAAATACTTAAATATTCATTATTTTAAATTCAAATATGAACATCTTTCTAATTATATTGGTTTCTTTGTTACACATTTATTAAACTACATGAGACTATTCTATCTCTATAAAAGTCAATTGTTATGAATCTGTTAATTATTTAAATTTAATATGAAGATTAAACAACATTCAGTGAGGAAGTAAAAAAAATTGACCAATCTAAGTAAACTTTCTGAATTTTGACCCTGGAAGGACTGAGACCTGACAAACACCAATTGGATAAAGCAACTGGAAAAAGAAAAAAAAAACTTTTGTTCTGTGGCATGTAGAGTGATGGTTTGATTTGCTTATTTCATGGTTGCATGGTAGCATTTTCAAATCATCATCTGACCATAAGCTTCAGTCGATTTGGTTAACTTCGAGCATTGCTGATTTTCAAGCCTTCCTTTACCTGTGAGCCAGATGTAAAGCTTCTGGCCAATCAGAACCAGTAATTATTAAATGTCCTACCTGGGAGAACTGAAAACAAGGCCTGGCTTTGGAATCGAGGGCCAGATTTTAAGAGCCCTGCATTACAGAATTCTTGTCGGTAGGGCGCGCTCTCAAATCTATAAGATTGTCCTTATGCGCGTTGTCGTGATGTCCTTCGTCAGCATCCGTAGCTCCGTCCATGCCACTTTGTGTACAAAGCGAAAGGGCTTTGCATGTTATTCGCAGGTTGTAACTTAATTTTTTGAAGATTAAGTGAAGCCGCTCTTTCAGGTTTGTTCATCAAAAGCAAAAGTCCAGTATGACATTTATGAAAGTTCTTCCGAGTAGCTGATAAAGAGGACAAAAACGTTGTTAGAAGTTGTCAATTTTGCTCGCCTTAGTAGGCCAAGCTTGTCCGAATTATGTCAGGTCGTTAGACAGCCGGCTGGTTCGCGCTAATGCCTTTTGAAAAGCATAAAAGTTTGGGAAGCCTGTTATTATACCTGGGAAGCTCCGTATGTATTCCTTTAAATGATGTATAAGCTTTTGGGAATGAGCTGAAAGACCGGGCGGCTTTGGCGCACCGTGCCACAGCGTGTGTAACTTTTGTGTCCTTTTCTGCGTTTCACGCCTAATTCATGTTGACAGTTACAGGAATCGGCGAGGCGTCGGCTGGCAAGCTGAACTAATATCGACTAACTTAACTAAGTCTGATGACTGCCTGTTTATATAAATCTGCGTATCATGGCTGCCTAAAAATAGTCAGAGAGCACTTTAATGTATTTCATGTCGTAGCTTTTTACTTGACTATTACATAAAAATTGTCAGCGGATTATGCTTTATCGTTTACGATTTATCTATCGAGAACGCGTGCATAGTCATTATTTTATTTTTAATTTGGCTGTTTAGGTTTAGCTTTAGCTACGAATGACACTCACTCGTACCTGAATTGTTGCGGCGTGTTGAATATCTGTACATCTCTTAGATTAGGTCATTAGATTAGGTAGGGATCGTACGTATGTGCCAGCTGGGTTCATGTATCCAAGCCCCAACAAAAATCATTTTGTGTTTTTTAGAATGTTTCCAGGATATTCATTTATTCATGAAGATGTACATGGGATGGTGAACTGTAAATATTGACATTTTGCCCAGTTCTGTACAGCAAGATATACTTGAACATGGTATTATACCACCGAATATGCGTATTAGTGTAGCATTACAATTTAATTTTGTGGAGTTTGTAATTTATTTTGTAATTATTGGCTGTAGCCTGTCAGTTGTCAGATTTCTAGAATTTGATCATCTGTGTTTTTCCAAGTCTTATGGTAATAAGAAATCAATGTGTTGTAATTCATTTAACCATGGGTACTGAATTTAAGAGTACCTGCCTGGAGCAGTTAATATTTTAATCCTGTAGTGTGAAGGTCACGTTGTAAACAGCTATTTATTTATTAATTAAGTGTTCAGTTTAAATGTGTGCCTTTTAGTGTCATTTTTCCTCAGTGACAGTAATGTGTGTCATAATCAGTTAAGGCATAGAGAATTTTCTGGGAATGGAGAAAAATAATAGTTTATATGGAATGCTATGTATATATTTATATCATGTAAACTGCAAAATTTTATTCAGAAAATACCATTCTAAGCCAGTTCAGTTGTAATGTTTAATAAAAGGTTCATCAAGCTTTTGAATTAATTTTTTTTATGTTATATGGCCTGTTTAAAATGAAAAATAAGTGGCACTTAGTAAATTAAATCAAAGTTTTGCAATTAATGACAATCTCTTGAGACTGTTCTCCAGCCGGCCACTGAAACACACAGGGGCCGTCCTCCAATGGAGAGAGGGCTGTTAAGAAGAATGACAGAGACTCTTCAGCTTATGCACCTAATCACTTCGAGGGCACATTGTGCAGTTTGAGATTGAGTGGGTCAGAGAAAAGGGGTTTAACTGAGGCAGAATAGTTCTCCAGGGCCAGGTGGTCAGGGTTATGCTGCTGGTGTAATTTATAAAACAGACACCAGAGGGCAGTTATGAGCCAGTCTAAATGTAACCCTACAGATAGCGTTCACTTCACAAATGATAGCTTGTTAACACTATCAGTCAAAAAAGAAATAGAGCAGTCAGTGTTGGTTCATTAAAACCACACAGGCCCAAAGGTCAGTTCTCCCTTGGTTTTAGTCCTGTATCAGTCAGCACATGGAGCGGAGAGGCTCACGAAACCTTAACCTGCGTTTTGTGTATCTCCCCAGTTTTGTCACCATGTCGGACAAGAGCGAGCTGAAGGCGGAGCTGGAGCGTAAGAAGCAGCGCCTGGCTCAGATCAGGGAGGAAAAGAAGAGGAAAGAGGAGGAGCGAAAGAAGAAAGAGGTGAGCGGGTATTGAATTGTCACCTGTGCCTGCAATTAAGTAAAACACAAGGCGTGACAGTGCTTTGCAGGCGGCTCTGGACATCCTGCAGAAATGAGCCAGTGGTCTGCTGGGAGGGAGCCTGTAGCAGTAGGCTGGGGAGCTCCTCTTAAAAAGGCATTCAGATTTTTACAGCATGACAGATTTATCATTCAAAGAAGTTCCGATATTAATTATACATCTAGATTTGGTGCTGTCGGAAATGACAGCATTGTATTCCTCAGACAGCCCGTCACTCGCTCCGCCCATCTAATCCGGACTCGTCCCACAGTTACCGACTGGTAGAATTTCTGGAAGTACTGGAAGGATTACCTGCAGATGTGAAAAATAATAAATGAGTTTTTCCCTGATTGCTGTGAGTCCTTGTTGTGATATGTAGGTCTGCAAGTACACTTATTCATTATAGCACATTCCATTTACGTGACAATTTGCTGAATCTTTCCCCACCAGTTAGGTGGTTACTTGTATTCTTTTGTGTATGTTTTAATATATATGTTTCGAAAATGTTCTTTATGTTATAATTTTAAAAGTTTATTTTATAAAGCTTCAATTAATTCTATGGTGCAAATTATGCCTTATATTAATCTAAATCTTAATACTGTGCTTGTTAATAACCAGTATATGCACATATTCATAATGTATAATATGTCTCCCATTTCAAATTTATTTGCCTGTATTTCAATTTACACAAACTGCAGGTACACAATAAGAGTGAAAACTTTAACAACAAAGGAAAGTATAGATGTGAATTTTTCTCACTATGACAATATTTTGGATTTTGTTGCAATGTGATATGGGGAAAATCTGCAGTATAAGCTTGTGTAGTCTCATTTTAATATAAAAAGGAAATTCATAAAAAGGTATCTGATATGTAAGTATGTAGATGGTAACTAATATGTCTTTTCCACTAGTGCCGTGCCGATGCTGACAGCTCATTCTCAGATGGTGCTGATAGCACAACCTGAGAACCGGCCCACATTTCCACTAGTGCCGTGCCATGCTGACAGAGCTCGTTCTGAGATGGTGCCGATAGCACAACCTGAGAACCAGCCCACATTTCCACTAGTGCCGTGCCGATGCTGACAGAGCTCGTTCTCAGATGGTGCCGATAGCACAACCTGAGAACCGGCCCACATTTCCACTAGTTCAAAACAAAGTATTACAGATGGCGAGTACACACACGACAATGGGCATGAAACATTTTTGAATTGAAATTTTTTTTGGCAAAGAATGTTTCGGGTAATGATAACTTAAGCTTGGATTCAGTGGGATGCAGTTCATTGAAAACATCACTTTCATCAGAGTATTCGGAGGCTGGTTACCAACAATGCATACAGAACAGTGGGGCACTGAAATGTTTTCCATCCGGGGACATTTTGTGAGTCGTCTTTTTTATTTTTTATTTTTTTTTTATTTGAAGTTTTGGTAGTGTTTTTATGTTAATGATTTACTCTGTTCTACAAGTGTAGCCTACTTTCTTCAGCTCTCCTTTAATTTATGGATGTTTTCAGCAAACACTCAAACAAAACATCAAACGCTGAAAATAACAGATGCTCTGCTGAATTGTAGAGTGCATTGTAGCCCCTCCCCACATGCAGACAGCTGGGGTTTGCCATTTCAGACATGGAACCTCAAAATTGCCTGCCTGAGCCAGTTTCTCAGCCCTGGCACCAGGTAATCTGCAGTGGAACAGAAAAGCGTTCCAAATTAGTCACTGGCTTGGCACTGGCACTGCTGCACTGGTGGAAAAGAACAATTAAATTCCTTCTCCTGTTGTCCCAAAAACTAAATCGAATCAATCATCCTTTTCAGTATCTCATAGTTGTTCCTCACTGGGTCATTGCTTGACCAACTAGAGATGCATGACTTTGTCAGTCAAATTACCAATCATGAGTTGGGTTGTCACCTTTGATTTTTAAGAAATAAAGGAGGGCACTTCCCCAGCCCCATAATTGATTTACCATGATGAAATGTACTGAGTAGAAGGGGGAGGAGGTGATCGCACTGTCAAAAAGTACTAAACTCAGACAGGTCACAGACATGCCGTTGAGGTCATTGGGTAAACACTGAAATGTACTTCTGTGTTGCCCCCATTCCAGGCCGACCAGAAGAAGGAGACGCTGCCACCCCAGGATGACTCTGACCTGGAGAAAAAGAGGAGGGAGGCTGAGGCTCTGCTGCAGAGCATGGGGATCACCCCGGAAGCTCCTGTTGGTGAGAGCTGTGAGCGCTGGTGGGGGTGTGTGCAGGAGAACTCACCAATCTCCCAACTTGAGGCAGTCCAGTTATAAAAGAGTTTAGCAATTAACCTTCATGTTTATTTGCCACTTGCTTAATTTCCACTAGGGGGCAGAAGTGATCCACAGCTGATCCAGCTGTGTGGCGAGAACCACTGCATCATTTTGTCAGGAAGTAATAAATGCTATGTGGCTAAAGTAATGGTATTGAAGTATTGTTAGGAGGAGTCTGGTGTTAATAGTTCTGAGAAAGCCAACGGGCCATTTTATAACCCTTCATTTTTGCCTGGTCTTCTCAGAAATGTTACTGACAGATTTAGCCTGTTATTGCACGGTAATCGTCTTTGCTGATCTGAGTGCTCTGTCAAACATCTACCTGTGTTGTGAATCGAAGGGACCCATTTTTACCCATTTTCAAGTTTTCATGATTAAAATGAGCATGTTTTGTTTGTGCTCCTACTGTGTTTATGCATAATAGATCTTCTGAGTTGGACCTGAATGGCTAACTTTAAAGACACTGAAGTGTCACTGCCCAATTAGTAATGACCTCACCTTTGTAGTCATGCTTCATAAACATTTCTTAATGATTTATTTAAGCCATTTTGTGATATTTGTACTTTCCCAGCCACTGTTATTCCCATGGTGTTGCTATGTGGCTGTCTTTGTATTTATGCCAATGTCCAACCATGACCCCTTATTATTGAGATTAGAACATTACTCTGCCTGAATAAGCTATATTTACCTTGTGCCACCAGTACTGACTGGTCTGTGGGGCTGTAAAATGGGAACAGGACAGTTACAGCGTTTCAAGTTAGTATATAAAATAGTTTCAGCCGCAATGAAGAATTTATCACCAGTTCATTATCCTTAATTAAGCTTTGTAGCTTGATGTCCTGTGATCTGCTCCTGTTCATTATTTATTTCAACAGTAATTTAATCTTTGGTTTATTGTACCCCGTGTTAAAGATGGGTACACCCTGCTCCCTTATGGTAACTGTCTTATCTCTATGAGCTCTTTATGCCTGGATACTTCATTATAACACAGAGATTGCTGTGAGTAAAGAGATCTTCACATTTGTAGTTTTGGATTTGAAAGTAAAGCGGGAAATATGAGATGCTTGTGTTTCCTCTGCTCTTTATTCTGGCCCTTTCTGCATCTTATATGGAGCAGTGTTGAAATGCCTCAGTAATACCATGCAGACAGTGTCCTGGTTTCATGCTGATACCATGCTAACATTAGCATAAGTGTCTGTAGTGGCTCGATGCAGCCGCACCACTGTCAGATGTCATGTCTGTCTTGCTGTGGTCCTGTCTGTACCTCTCTGTTTGGTTCCTGTGGGCGCCATCCTGCCTGTCTGAGTGTTAACTGCATTTCTGCATGACTTCCAAGCATGGAATTTAACCATACGTTTCCCCCCTCTCTCTCTCTACCTCCCTCTCTCTCTCTCCTTCCCTCTTTCTGTTCATCCCCTTCCATGTTGTGTTTTTTTTTTTTTGTGCTTCGGCTTTTTGTGTCCCGCCCCTCCTCCCGACTCCCATGCTCGCCCCAGCTTCCATCCAGACGTCGCAACCCCTGCGGATAGTAACGGCAGATACCTGTCTCTTTCACTATCTAGCCCCTCCGCCCACATCCCCCACCTCCAAGTCTGCGGGCACGCCCAGCGAGGCGGGCAGCCAGGACTCCAGCGACTGCGCCGCGGGGCCCAGGTATAATGACACCTGTGTGAATGAAGGGGGGGGGTATTGTAAAGTGTCTGCATTTTAATATGTGCGCGCCTAGACTGAGGAGGCCGGGCCGGCCTGAGGCCTTACCCGGAATGCTGTTTGTTGTGGCACCCCCTGTGCGTGTCTGCCTTTTAATCTGCAAGGATAGCGGTTCTTTTTGTGGGAGGTGTACTTCTTTATTTTTAATTAGAGCTGGGAACCTGCAGGGTACGGCTGTGTGTGCCCGTCTGCATGTATGGATATATTCGGACACACATTTACTAGGTTTACTTTTAATTGTCATGGTGCATGTTGAGCCTAAAAGCAAGGATTTGAAGCACAAACATGAAATGCCTGGATAATGGTAAATAAATGGAATTATCCGCAGAATGACGTCTGTAGCCGCGCTGACCACCGGCTGGGAATCAGAATCATTGTATAAGGCTGATTTTGCAGTTTTGATGAGTGCTGAGGTGAAATGCATTTCTAACACATACGCTTAAGTATGTCACGTTGAAGGCTGGGGAGTATTTGTTTGACTGGTCCATTCAGAGGGGACGCAGGGCTGTTTATTTACTTTGTGTGGAATCTGATTAGCAGAGCCCTGATTGGATGATAAAAATGGTGTCTTTTGGCGCCCAGGGCCACATTTAACCCCCAAGCACGGCCTCGTCCCTCTCTGGGTCACCCCGGCCATCTTCTTCCCCCTCCCAAATAGGCCATGGCCCTGTGACACACACGGGTACAGCCTGAGGCCCCCACTGCTGTCCCCCTGTACCCCCGGAGGGGCAGGACCTGTGGCTGGGGTCACAGCTGGACATAAGGGGTGAATATGACTCTAAGAATAGCTTCTGGCAGTACACAGAACATCGCACTATCTAATATGTGCACTTAACCCAGGCTGCAGTATGTATTACATAAATAATGTAATACATACTGTTCTATTTAGAGAGACGAAATGTGCAATAAAGTACAGTTGCCGATTTTTAAATGCTACTGCCTGTTCCTGATCTTGTGAAATGAAAACTGAACTTAGTGTAAGGCTGGTGTAGAGCTCTCTGTTTCCCCCTCACCTCTGTCTGTCGTTATGGGATGTCCCCTTCAGAGGACGGGACGTAGACAGCTTGCCTTGCGGTTAGCCGTGGGGTCGGCCAGCATGGTGTTTCCGCTGAGCCTCTTAACCTGCTGTCCTCTCTCACTAACCCCTCATTGCCGGCGGGCTGCTAACAGGACTCTGCACTGGGACTCGGACCCCTCCACTCTCCAGCTGCACTCTGACTCTGACCTGGGGTACCACAACATTTTCTCTCTCTTCTGTGCTGTTTTTTTCACCTCCCACACTCCCCCCCCCCCCCCCCCCCCTGAATTTATTTCATTCCTCCTGCCCCACACCCTCTAGCATTTGAAATAATAAAATTAACTATTATTTAAATATGAACTTCATGAATAAATGACTAATGTCACATGACTCAGAGTTCCTTTCCTTGGTCCTGGCAGGTTCTGGTCCATTTAGGTCCTCTCTATAGAGAGAGTGCAAAAATGAACTTCTGTCAGTCGCAGGCGGGGTGTGACCCTCTGCTCTGCCTGGCTGCCAAGCGAGGGGGTGGAACTCCTGGGTTTGATGGGAAGTGAAGTGGGATTGAAGCAGACATGCTGCCCCAGAAGCATGAGTGGTGCAGAGGTCCCTGCTTCAGCAGCTCTGCTATTTTCACCTGGGTGTCTAATTTCTGGTTTCCCCTATCTGAAGCTATGTTTCCCCTATCTGAAGCTATGTTTCCCCTATCTGAAGCTATGTTTCCCCTATCTGAAGCTA